AGCCCTATACTTGGGATGAAACAATACCATCGGCAGTGTGTATATGTGCTGAAATAGGTTACACAAAGGGAGTGCACTCTTTGCTTGTTGAACACAACACACCTGTCAACTTAGTCAACAAAAATGGCTGGAGTGGGCTGCATCTTGCATCGAGGTATGGGCACCTCGACATTGTGAGGCTGCTCCTTGAACACAATGCACCTGTCGACTTAGTCGACAAAGATGGCCGGACTGCACTGCATCTTGCATTGAGGGATGGTCACCTCGACATTGCGAGGCTGCTCATTGAACACAATGCACCTGTCGACTTAGTCACCAAAGATGGCTGGACTGCTCTGCATCTTGCATCGAGGGATGGTCACCTCGACATTGCGAGGCTGCTCCTTGAACACAATGCACCTGTCGACTTAGTCACCAAAGATGGCTGGACTGCACTGCATCTTGCATCGAGGGATGGTCACCTCGACATTGCGAGGCTGCTCCTTGAACACAATGCACCTGTCGACTTAGTCACCAAAGATGGCTGGACTGCTCTGCATCTTGCATCGAGGCATGGTCACCTCGACATTGCGAGGCTGCTCCTTGAACACAATGCACCTGTCGACTTAGTCACCAAAGAGGGCTGGACTGCTCTGCATCTTGCATCGAGCAATGGTCACCTCGACATTGCGAGGCTGCTCCTTGAACACAATGCACCTGTTGACTTAGTCACCAAAGATGGCTGGACTGCTCTGCATCTTGCATCGAGCAATGGTCACCTCGACATTGTAAGGCTGCTTCTTGAACACAATGCACCTGTTGACTTAGTCGACAAAGATGGCTGGACTGCTCTGCATCTTGCATCGAGTAATGGTCACCTCGACATTGTAAGGCTGCTCCTTGAACACAATGCACCTGTTGACTTAGTCGACAAAGATGGCTGGACTGCTCTGCATCTTGCATCAAGTAATGGTCACCTCGACATTGTGAGGCTGCTCCTTGAACACAATGCACCTGTTGACTTAGTCCCCGAAGATGGCTGGACTGCTCTGCATCTTGCATCGAGTGATGGTCACCTCGACATTGCGAGGCTGCTCATTGAACACAATGCACCTGTCAACTCAGTCACTGAAGGTGGCCAGACTGCACTGCATCTTGCATCGAGGTACGGGCACCTCGACATTGTGAGGCTGCTCCTTGAACACAAAGCACCTGTCAACTCAGTCGGCGAAGATGGCCGGACTGCTCTGCATCTTGCATCGAGTGATGGTCACCTCGACATTGCGAGGCTGCTCCTTGAACACAACGCACCTGTCAACTTAGTCGACAAAGATGGCCGGACTGCTCTTCATCTTGCATTGAGTGACCGTCACCTCGACATTGCGAGGCTGCTCCTTGAACACAATGCATCTGTTGACTTAGTTGACAAATATGGCTTGACTGCTCTGCATCTTGCACAATCCTAGGGAGAGTAGAGTATAATGGCTTGCCTTCCTTATAAACATTTCTTTACAGTAGTATAACTTGAATATGAGATTCTGTAGGAAGTACACTGCAAACTGGATGTGTGTCTTGAAACATGAATATGAAGACCAAGAGTTGTAATTACAATGATTGCAGGCAAGATTACTGAGGAAAATGGATTTTGCTATGAGAAATCAAATGTGTTCCAGGCCAACAGCAATGGGCCTGAGATGAAATTCGGCCATTGAGGATTGAGTTGGTTAAAACCCAGTCGTTTGGAACCACTGGTATATTGCCAGACGTCTCTGAGAGGCTCAGCAACATGGTTTGCCCTCCTTAGTGGGGTTGAAACTGATTGAATGGCCTTGGATGGCCTGCCTTTTTGGTAGGGCTCGACTTCAGCTCACTTGTACCAAGCTTTACCACCATAAGACGGTGTAAGTATAAATCAGTATTATCTGGTTATTTCTGCCCTTCAGTAGGGTCTATACTGGGCTCCAGTGACTTCAGGTATTCTTGATCTTTGCCAATGCATCACATTGAGAGTAGGAGATGTTCCTGTACCCTCCACACACAGAACCTGTAGGAATGTGTGGCAGAGAGCGTCGGCTAAGTAGCCGGCAAGCAGTTGGCAAGTCGGTTAAGTGAGTGGCAAGTCATTCCGACACATGAGTGGTTACTTAGAGAGGTTGGATGGTCATCCAGCAAGTAAATCGGGGGGCAAATGTAACACTCCATCACGTTGTCAAGTTTATCGTGCCTGGGGTTGCCTGGTTCAAGTCGGAGAGACGTATCATGCGCGTACTCGTTGATGAGTTGGCAGGCGTCCTCAATACTATAAAAATTGGCATCGAGAAGGAGGCGGGGTAGTCGAATTTGGATGGACATGCAAGGATGAGGCCATCTGGGATGGAGAAGGGTGGATAACAATGTTGCATTCAATTCTAAAAAGTCTCTATTTATACAGGAAAGGCCAGGATATCCGAGTGAATGGCTCTGAGCTCGGTGGAAGATAACATTACAACAATCCACTCCGACGGTTCGCGGCTACAGGTTTCTTCATCCGTGCACAAAGTAGGGCTATCACTTCCGCAAACACTCTCTCCGCTCCCGCCTTGCAAACAATCAGCGGAGTTACTGCGCACGGGCGGAGATTCTACCATGTCCGCTAGCAATCCGTTGATGCTTTCCTTCTGCACTCTAATAACTGTACCATCATTGTCTGTTTCCACAATGAGCGCACCATCGACACGAGAAAGGGCTAGAAGCGTCTACAACGTGTTGAGCATCCGTCCAAGCGGGTCCAGACAAGTCTTTAATAAAAAAGTCGAGGATGGGGTTGTCGTTGATTGGAACACATTTGAAATTGTGGGGCGGGTGGCGCGAAGAAAATATGACTTCCACCGTGCGGTGAGGGTCGTACTCTTTGTAGTCAAGGAAAATGGGCTGCTTGGAGATGTGATATAGTGCAACGGTCTCCGCACACTCCCTGAGGAAGAATTCCGCTTGCGAAACTGCGAGGTTGAAGACGTTGATAAGCCAGCAATTTGGCCACACGCGGAATTTGTGATTTTTTGCTGATTCCATGCCACTAGCTATGTTGTAATAGGCTTTATAACTTACATCACTCAACAAAGGGTTGGTGCGAGGTCTGAGCAGCCAACTAGGAGACAGTAGCATTTAGTACTAGCAGAGTGTGTCTTGAGATCACTAGAAGGCATTTGCGTGCCCGAAGGCCAACTTGGATACTTAAAGCTTTTACTCAAACTTGCTTCTTACAAGTCTACAGGACTCGGAGAGGCAGGGTGCTCCCTCTAATCGAAGACATACTATCCATCTAGGCCATGAGCAATCCAAGGGGATGCCGGTTACAAGTCGAATCAGGTCAAGAGGACCTCTGTGCCAATAGTGAACACTATCACATGGCAGCAATGAATCTTCGGATTTATTCGGACGCACATAGCTCCGAAATCGGACTAAGGAGTCAGAACCCCAAAACGGACCTGACTCGTTCTGACTCGGAATGAGTCCTTGACTTGCTCTGACTCAGAATGACTCAGAATGAGTCATCCCAGTCCCAAGTTAACCGGGAATGATTCAACCTAGAAACGGTCACATGGACATGCAGCTTTATATCTAAACTACCAGATTCGGTTCCAAACAGTACAATTTCGGACTTGAGCACATGTTCTTGTCTACATTAGTTACAGATTATATCTCAAACCTCGGTCAATAATTAAATATCACCGTACCTACCTCGTATTTGTTTGTATCACTTGTACCCAGGATTTAGTATAAGTAGGGTGAAATATCTTGTAGGTAGGCACTGGCCTTTTGCCTGCCTTCCAGGCAGACCACTCAATGGCGGTTCTGGACAGTTGACAAGTGTTAGTCTGTAGTCGGACTCAAAGAGGAGTTTAATGTATGTTGGGTTGGGTTGGATTTCTTGTGTGATCTAGTTCGACTTCAAGGTCGTTTGAGCACTCTCAGACTCTTATCTATCTGTGGGATCTCAGCTACATGTTCAATAGTAGCTCAAGATTCAATAGAACCTTTCATTCCTTTGAAAGTCAGATGGTGGACTGGATGTTAGTTGGACTTCGTCTTGAGTTCGATGTTTAAAGCTTTTGCTTGAACAACCAATTCGAGAGTGCATAAAGCCTTCTTTGGACGAATGCTGCTACAGACTCGGACCCAGTCTATCTTTTTGTGGTAGCACAATATATGCAATTGGATCTTTATGGTATTTTGTGGACAGTGCAGTGATATCGTACAGCGGACAGCATTACAGCGATACAGCGTTAGGGACAGCGACAGCAATAGGGTTACAGCATACAGTGACAGCGACAGCGACAGCGTTATGAATGCAGTGGATAGCGCCATTGTATGGCTCGGAGTCATTCAGCGACAGCGGGATTCGGTACCTCCGAGGTTTTGTTTCCAACCAGCGAATGTGATATATTCTCGGACGATGTGAGCTATCGCTTTGTGATTAGCTCCAGACGCCCTTCCGCGCAGAACAAAAGCGCCCTTCAGGACCACGAAGCATCGTCACTGGCGCACTCGCAGATTGGAAATCACTGGTGCACTCTTGGAAGTTACTGGCACACTTGGAGATTAGAAGTCAGTGGCGCACTCGCATTCAAAACCACCGGCGCACTTGTGATGATTAGAACAAAGAAAGGTGTGCTTACGCAAATAAAAAAGAGGTAGCTTCGTTCCTTGAACGAAGCTACCGCTTTGAAGGCCAGACCCCGAGTCAAACGAGGGTAGCGGATCGAATACTGCATTAGCCCCATCAAACATCTGTGCACTAACCACTGTGCTATCTGGCCGTGATGATTAAAACGAGTCACGCAAAACTATCAAAGTGGAAAGAGCGCTGTGCACCCCGAAGATGGAAAGGTGCCGTGACAAGGAAAGGGCACCACATTAAATCAACGACCTTTCACACATTATTTGCACGCGCCAGGTCGTACTCGCAACAAAGGCTATCTGGAAAAACGTGCGAGTTAAACAGGCCCTGAGCTAGGAAAAAGAAGTTGTTAAATTTCTCAAGGCCAGACCCCGAGTCGAACGAGGGTAGTGGATGGAATATTGCCCTTGAACCATCAAGCGTCCGCGCACTAACCACTGTGCTATCTGACCGTGATAGCTCCGTACTTGAGGAACAATGATTACCTATACAAGGAAAGGCGCCTAGAAGGAGAACACACTGTTTGAAGAAAGGCGCAGGCGCTGTTTGAAGAAAGGCACGGGCGGTTGAAAGGAAAAGACGTGGGTGCTGTCTAAAAAAGGCCGGTGCGGTTTGAGGGAAAAGGCGCAGGCGCGCTTGGGAAGAAAGGCACCGGAGTTAGACTGCTGGGGAAGCAGGAAAAGGTATAAAAGGAGGCGCAAAGAAGAGAGAAGGCATCTAATTACCTCTACTGCATACTGCTAAAAGGAAAGGCGCTCCCATTAAAATGGGAGGTGCTAATCCTGTACATTGTCAAATCAAATAAACTAGTGTGCCTTCACGACAGTGGGGTAACAGGGTCACCTTGACCGCGGTTGAACAGAATAGATACTGCGCGAGAGACCTCCGAGACAAGAAAGGAGGTATCATTGGGAATATAAAGTGTTGAAGCATGCATTCAGTTGAAGAAAAGTGCGGTGCGATCCTCCAAACAGCCAGCAGACCTACTGAGGCTGCATGTGACTGTTGACTTTCAGCGCTCATAACGCACACCTTGCGTGCATAGGGCGCATTTATCGAGAAGGCGCCTTTTACCAACTCAACTATACCACTTCCCCCATCCATTTCGGCGCACTTCACTCGACTAGCTAAAAAGGCGCCTCGCGCACGCACCCAATATTCAGATTGCGAAGGAGCGCGCTACAATCTGACGGCGCTGCGTTTACCCAGTTCTGAAGAAACTTCTTGCGTGCCCTATACAAAGCAAGGAGATAGAGTGTCTTCGCGGGCGTCATGAGCTTGGCTCGGGACGTCGGCGAGACTCAGAATAAATCTTGTAACATCTGAATAAATGAGCTGACGCTGCACGTCTCGGAGTGAAGGCTGACGCTACGCGTCTCGAGGTGGACGCAGACGCTGTGTGTCTCGAGATAGACGCAGACGCTGCACGTCCTGGCGCGGCCTCTGGCCGCGGGCTGCGGGGCGGGAGAGCCCGGGCAGGCGAAGCCCAAGGAAGCCCCGGGAAAAGACCCGCGGCCGAGTCCGACGCGACGCGAGACTGAGCATGAAAGTCCGGTCGCCCAGTGCGACGACGAAGCCGGACAGCCCAAATGGAGCATCGCTCCCAAAGCGAGTAGCGCGTCCGGCAGAGCACTGGCGACGGACAACCCACAAGGAGGGATGCGAAGGGAGATAAAAAAGGGGATATATTGATGAAGGTGTACAAAAAAAAAAAAAAAACAATCTCCAAGTCCACATCGTCCCCGGGAAGGGGAGAAGGAAGGGGGGGTTAGGGGGTTACGGCGCGAGCGTGAATGCTAGCGTGAATGCTCGCAATGCCGAGAAGAAAGAACCGTATCGCAGAAGAAAGAACCGTATCGCAGAAGAAAGAACCGTATCACAGAAGAAAGAACCGTATTGCAGAAGAAAGGGACTGTGCCGCAGAAGAAAGAAACTGTGTTAGAGAAGAAAGAAAGTGTGCTGAGAAGAAAGAGCCATGCCGAGAAGAAAGAAATGTGCTTGTCCCGAGAAGAAAGAACATGTATATGGAGGGGAGAGGACTCACCGCTTCGGCCAAACGATGCACGTTGTCGAAAATTGTTGGAAACGATGTCTTGTCGACAAGTGCGTTCACCGACCTGAAGCCCGCCTTGTCCGCCTTCGAAAGGTGACGACAAACACGTCACTTAGGTGGAACACCTGGGCCCTGGTTGCTCTCCGCAATAACGAGCGGAGAGCAGACGAAATGTCCACGCAGATGCCCATGATCAGACGCAAGACGTGATTGTCTGCGCTGCCGGCGGACGTGATTGTCCGCCAGCACGAGTGTGATTGCTTGCGATCAACAGACGCAGGGCGTGATTGCCCGCAGGACGTGATTGTCCAAGGAAAGATGAAGGAAGGGGAGAGGACGTGATTGTCCGAGGGAAGATAAAGGGAGGGGAAAGGACGTGATTGTCATTGTCCCGGAAAGGAGGAGGATGACGCAGGACGTGATTGTCCGAGGAGGGATGAGGGCGGGGCGAAAGACATGATTGTCCGAGGAAAGATGAAGGAAGGGGAGAGGACGTGATTGTCCGAGGAGGATGGAGGGGGAGGGAAAGAGACGTGATTGTCCTGGAAAGAGGAGAATGGAATTAGGAGGTGGAAGACTCACCACTTCGGCCAGGCGATGCGCGTCGTCGAAAGTCGTGGGGAACACTTTCTTGTCGAGGAGCGCATTCACCGAAAGAAAGCCCACATTGTCCGCCTTGGGGTACGCTCGAGGTGCATGGGTGCGAGCCACGGCGCGCGCGAGGAGTAAGGGGGTAAGGCTACGCTCGGGGCACTTGCGCCATGGCGTCGAGCGCGATGTGCGTGCTAGCCGACGTCCGCGACTCCGCAGGTGCGTGCGGCTGTACGTGCGAGAGGTCATCCGAGCCATGCAGATAACGAGGCGCGACGCGCAACGGCACCGGAGGCGACGAACACTACGCAACCTCCAACGAACCCACCGCGGACGAAATGACGCGCAGGACCACCACCCGCAGTCACATTCATATTCACTTAATCGTGAATGCGGACGAGCGGAAGGAAGGAGTAAGAAGAGGAAAGAAACAGGAACATGTGTGAATGAGAGGAGAGGATGCGCGACGCCGCGCATTACTCGCCGCTGACGCTGGCGCTCACGATGCAGATGACGGGGTACAAGTGCATGCGCACCTGCACCTCGACCCCATCGCAATATCGGACGCCGACACAACACCTCCCGACGCGCTGCACAAAGCGACCACGCAGGATTAACCATCTCGCGTCTGAGCAGAAACGCGGGTAGGGTGGGTATGACAACCATGAAAGAACGAAGAAGTGAAAAGCAAAGAAAAGGAAAGGAATAATTTTAGAATCAAAGAAAGGAAAGGAAAGGGGCCCAAAAGAGCCGCCTCGAGTACACGAATGCTGCGAGTTCCGAAGACGAGAAGCGCGGGGTGGAGGGCACAACCACCGGCAAAGGCTCAAGGCGCGTACTTGGTCGGGTACGCCGAAATACGGGCGCTGGCCCGAAGAGAGTCCGGTCTCGAGTGACGGACGCGACGGGAAGGGCTACATGAGGCCTGAAAGGGGCTGCATGCCAGTAAAAGGCACCGGAGTATCCACCCCTTCGTGGCGCACACGCTCCTGCGGATGGCCTCCGACCCGCCGAAAAGGGATATCGCCCGTTATCCGGCCTCGAGCGGGCAGGGGTGGACGCCAAAGGCTCACTCCCGCCCACATACAAGTCGGAAGTGTGAAGAAATGAAATGGAAAAGAAAAGAAAAGGAAAGAGGCAAAGGTGAGCTGCCCACGTACGACTGCGCGATGATCCCATAGACCCTATTCCCTGCAGCACACCTCGTCTCTCCGGAGCTGTAATCCCAACCTCTGGTGTAGTTTGAAGATGACCTGACACGAAAACGACGCGGTAAACGTCGCGGCATGTGGACGAATGCCTAGGTGAGGTGGCGTCATTCGGATGCGTTCTTGAGGGTGCAGGTGCGCTCCGCGGCACTCTTGTCGTTCATCTAGCCTATTGCGACATTCTGAGAGTCCTCTATGAGCGACTGCGTTGCCTTCCCTGGCCAAAATGACCAGTCTCGTCGTATCTTGGCTGTGTATGCGTAGACGCGTTCCCGAACTTCGTGACCGCGCTGGGTGAATTAGAGGATGGTGTGTACGTGTAGTGCGAAGATATGGGTGTGAAAGGCGATAGACGATGCAGAACAAATTAGAGCGTGAAAGAGATGGACGGTAGGCGGAGTGGGATGAGACGAGATGGAAGTCGGGATCAAGCCGTGGCTGTTGATCCGCCACGGGATCAGACTCCGCTCAACGACTTATTCTATCTATTCAAAGGCTCTGACGCCTCACTCGACACTCTATCTGGCGCTAGGCCTCCTCGTGCCTCGGAAGCCTAGCTAACAATACGAAAGCACCACATTACCCGGGTTTACCGAGTAGGAGTGTACTTTGCATCGCGGAGCGCCAATCCTTCGCGCCAGTGTAGAAGAATCTCCCATCGCGTCTTTCTCGGAAGGCTAGCCCCCAATGAGAGACCAAACTCTCGAGGAACCTAGCACCTTTCTCGAAATCTGCTACTTGCAGACAAGGAATCTGTATTAACCACCACCACCACATAAAAATATCACTCCGTAGAAGTAAAGAGCACCACTAGCCCGATTATTTCCCCCTAGAGGATGAATAAAACTATTGTATTTCAGTTTGACCGTAATTCCACGGGCAGATTCGAGTACAATAACCGCAGTCCACATCACAATGGATCACAAACCCACGAATGCAATATGTACTTGGACGGATCACAAAACCCATGAAGCGGTGGTAACGCCACCGCACAAAACATCCTTAATATATATAATCTGTTCATTGCATCCCGAGTTCACATTTCAAACCACTCTGCACAGTGCCTCGAAGGATCATTGAAAGATCTACCCAAAAGCCCCTGCTTGTTGCTTCATGCAATATATAGTGTGGTTGCTGTCAGGTTGCAACAGCTGTAATACTTCAGCTGGAATCCCCAAACAAACAACAAATGGATTGTTGAGGTAGTGGTGTTGTTTTGTAGATGTGTTTGGTTTTTGCGTGGTGCTTTTGGTTCGGATCCAGTTGGGTCCATTCTGAGGCACACATAGGACCTCATGTCTGCACTCTCACACTCCGCATGCGTCTCACTTTCGCGTGCGGCCTCGCACCCAGCGTATCAACGTTAACGCCGTGGATGTCGGGCACATCATCACCATTGAACCCCACCCCATACAGGAGGACACAAATCAAGTAGAACATCCACGACGCCTGCCGAGGCGTGTTGTGCCGACTGAAACTGTGGCAGAGTTCATTCTGGCGGATACATGCAGCATAATACTGGTTGAAAAATGCGGAATCAGCAATTCAGATATGCGGAGCAGTGAATGACTTACCGCATGATCAACAATGATGCGAACACAGACGCGCGCCTCGTGCAGGTCCCTGGCTGTAAGCGACGTACGCGTACGGGTCGCCCAACGATCATTGAGGACTGAAATTGCGACCAAGAAGACCTTGAACCCCAAATTGAACTGAAGGAAGCAGCTGAGGCCGCCAGACAGAACATCCATGCTCTCCGCAGGGAGTGGTTCGACAGTGGAATGGAAACGGCCAATACCAGAAGCGTCCATGAAGAGATCAGGTTGAATTTTCATATCCCACAAGAGCCAGTATTTATAGGGGAGCCAACCGGGGACGGTCGGCATTCAAAAGTGGGGAAGAGATGTGAGCTATCACTTTGTGATGTGCTCCCTCCGCAGGTCAAAATGGCAAATAAGTGATTGCGGAGCGGAATAAAGAAAAAGGCTCACACAATTCCACACGGCCTGACTCTGAATTGAACAAAAGTCTTTCACGAAGAGCCAATGGGATCACCTATGCAATCCACGTGCGTTAACCATTACATCACCAGGCCGTGCTTTCTCTTCCAATCGAACTCACAAAAAGGCGGACTTGCAATAAAAAGCTCATGCAAAAAGCGAAGTGGTTACAGCCCTTTGCGGAACTTAGGGCGCGGACAGTTTTTTTTTTTTTTTCATGCTTTTCAACGAGAATCGTTATTTCGAGCTCAATTCTTGTCCGTTTGCCTTATAAAGATGCTCATTGTGTCCGCAATGAAAATGCGGAGGGCACCACGGTCTTCGTTTTCCCTGATGCGATCATAATTGCCTTATTGGGAAAATGTCGCCCTTTTTGTACAGAACTTGTCGCATCCTCTGTGCTGTGGTCAGATTGACCTATAAATTTGATATAATATCTTTATGAGTATCATTGAGGGCTGGATGGACCGGGATTTTGAATGTGTGTCTTAGTTCACCGGTATTCTGCATTCTCATAATGTGGGATATCTGAATACCTTGTATACAAGAAATAGATACAATATGAGGAAATACCGGTCCGTCCAGCCCTTCGTAATACTCATAAAGACGTCATATCAAATTTATAGGTCAATCTGACCACAGCACAGAGGATGCGACAAGTTCTGTACAAAAAGAGCGACATTTTCCCAATAAGGCAATTATGATCGCATCAGGGAAAACGAAGACCGTGGCGCCCTCCGCATTTTCATTGCGGACACAATGAGCATATTTATAAGGCAAACGGACAAGAACTGAGCTCGAAATAACGATTCTCGTTGAAAAGCATGAAAAAAAAAAAAAACTGTCCGCGCCCTAAGTTCCGCAAAGGGCTGTAAATTTCCAGGGCCGAACCTTGATTCGAACAAGGGTTACGCAGCGAGTAGTTGACGAAGTGGTTCAATGAATCTGCGTGTGCTAGCAACTGCACCATTCGACCGTGATAGCTGGACACTGTGAAGTACTCAGCAGATGCAAAATAGTGGAGCCTAGGAAATTGCGGAGCGGTCAAAATGGGCAAAATGGCGCGGTTCAGATCTAGCAAGCGGACTGAATGCTGAATTGATCGGTGGACCCATGGTTCACTGAGAGTAAAGAGCAGAATGCGGAATGGATAACCAAACGGTCGACTAGTTTGCGGAGTCGGCCCGGGCGGACCAAGGGCGGCAGAGGACAGGCCTGGGACAAATGAGTTGCGGAAAGTGTATGGGATGAATATTGAAGGACCGACAACCCCATTCTTGTTGCGGGAACGCATGGAGATCTGCGGAACGGGGCAGGAGATGTTCTACAACAACTGAAATCCATAACCGTTGGGTCCGTCTGAGGAATGACCGACTCGAGGTTGACTGCTTCCTTGCCAACAAAACCTCGAGCGCTGGCAGGAAACTTGTTTCACCCACACTCGTGCTTCAAACTTGGAGCCGTGTCCTCAACGAAGAAGACAAACTGCCAGAAGACTGGCTTCGAGAACCCAAGGTTTTAGTGGGTATTATGAGTAGAAGCTCCCGCAGACCTTCATCCCCTGAGCCGGGATGACATAGACAAAGCGGGAGCATGTTAGCTCTCATTCGGAGTCCCACACTACGTTGATTTTTCCGTGCGCCTAAAGCATTTCCTTGGGAGGTGGATTTACATTTCTCAACTGGAAGTCGAAACTCCTCCAAGCTTACGCAGGCTGGCAGGTAAACCTATTGTTTATTGTGCTAGTACTGACATTGTACCACCAAAAAAAAAAAAAAAAAAAAACCTGTACCCTCTACATGCAGAACCTGTAGGAATGTGTGGCGGAGAGCGTCGGCTAAGGAGCTGAAATGGATATGAATGGAAGGCCTGCCTTCCCCGCTCTTCAACCCACCCAGAATTACGTCAATCCGTTGAAAAACGAGGGAGTAATGAGCTAAAAACCCGGTAGGGTTCAAAATACTCTTTCTTCTAAAAATAGGGGTAGTGCCATTAGATTTGCAAACAGCTGTAAATCGGACATAGAGGATGCCGAACATTGCCTAGAACACTGCATGACAAGTTTAGATGGCATTGAGCACTCTTGGCAAGGTCTGAATTGCTGCGGAACTAGGAACAATTGAAAAGAACTGAATTTCCCTCGGGGGAAAGTGGGTCCTTTCCTCCGAAATTGCATCGGAGAGCGGTGGGGCTGATACATATCACTCCTGGGCACTGTCCCATCGGTATAACACGTAGTTTTCACCCCGGAAAGGCGGGTTTTCTCTGACATCTTCTATATCTTTAGTTTCATAGACATGTATTTAGCTAGGCTTGTAAATTATGTACGAACAGTGAATCCCACTCCCCTGTTGGCATCCGACCTCTCAGACATTGACTAACGTCTGAAGTCAACCCCTTGAGCAACACCAGTTACCGGACTTCGTCCTTGTGTGTTAACTTGGTTACACTCTGCGTGGCCTTGTGCCAAGCTTGCCTAAGTCCAACAGTGGGTAGTTCGGTAGTAGTCAGGGTCATTTAATACAATTGGTTAAATTTACACATTAAGTGTGAAATTTGGCAAGGAAAACATATCTTGTTGAGATTGACGGTCAATACGTGACCTACCTCCCCGAACACACATACATTCACTAGAGTTGTTGGTGGTTGAGTTGAGATATATTTGAGTGTAGACTTTGTCTAGTTCTTTTGTATTCGATTTCACTGCTGCACTTTGGTGCAGCATTTCAGCGTCGCCTTTGAGAGGTGTCTGCAGAGTCGAAGTTTGTCTGGTGTCCCCGGCGCCTGCATCTGGATGGCGATGATGATTGGGGAGCACTGAAAAAAGCCGCCCAAGATCTTCTCGCCCTCCTCCTAGGAGTACGGGCCGCTCATCTGCTCGTCGTCCACCTCCTCCTGCAGGTAAGCGTCAACGAAGCCTTGGTGGTCAAGATACGAGATGTGGTTTTTGAAAATTACTGTCGCCGTCAGTGCAGGAAATTTGCCCATGGAGAAGCCTTCGCGGAGGTCGCAGACAAGATGAGGGTATTTGCTGGTATGATTGCGCTTTGCAAGAAGGGATTTGAACGTGTTGGCGTCATACGGTGTCCGAATTCTATTGTGAATCTCGAGGTGAGTGGGAACAGGGGGGGGCACGGGTAGGCACAACTTCAAGAAAGAGTCCACCTCCTCGACGCTCACCTCACGTGTCGGGGCCCTGGTGGCTGGACCATGAGAAGGCAAATGATTGGTATGGCTGCAGAAAGAGCATGTGTGGAGGCGCGCCACCACATTATGTCTGCAACTGGCGGCCGTGCCCGAGACGTTCTACGATCGGCATGATGCACGGCCGGATCCCTTCGCAAGGAGATCATTCCCGGTCAAGCAGCCGAGGGCGCCGCCGTTGCTAAATATTGTAGCAGAGCAGGTGGTGTGGAGGTGGCCTCGCTGACCGCAGATAAGGCAGACAGCAGTGGAGGTGCCCCTGCTGTTGCCGTTTTGAAAAGGCACGCCGCCGCCGCCACGACCACCACGCCCCCCGCGCTCACCGCCACCGCCATTGCCACCACCGCTGCCCGACGCCTGGCTGGACAGCTTCTTCTTGAGCTCCCGCAGACTCACTGCTTGGTCGTGTTTCTGGAACTCACGGTCGTAAAAGGTGTGAGTGTAGGCGAAGGGCTGTGCGTAATACCTTTTATGCAAGAAGATCTCCGTGTCGAGGATGGCAGCAAAGACGTTCTCGGTGTCCTCCACCTCGCTGAAGACCTCAAAGTGACGGCCCCAGCAGACAGCACGTGCAGAACCTGGGCCTTCCTTCGCCAGGATGAAGGTGGTGAAGTTGTCTGCCGCCTCAGGATCGAGCTCTTGAATGTCGCCGTGTTGAGAATGTTGATGTGCTTCTCGGACAAGGAGGTGGGGTTGAGCTTGCGCAAGGTGATCGTGCTAGTGTTGGAGTTGACGTACTGGGATTCTTGTCAGTGAAGAGGGAGAGGGGGGCGTAGATGTCGAGGTTGTACAGCTCGTGGATCAGCAGATGGAAGATGATTGTGATGTGACCTGCAAAACATAGGTGTCCGTGGGTCCACGTCCGCGCGGGATACGGGTCGAGAGCACCGCAGCTCGAGCTGGGCTCCACGCAGGCGGCTATCTGCCTCTCTTGTGAAAGTGGGTAGCCTGAACCCACCGCGGGATAGGATGCAGCTCACGAGCACACGTAGTGTGCCACCACGCTTCCTGGACCCTGTTGTAACCCTTTGGGGGCTCCCTTGAGGAGCCAGGGGAGTAGTTAGGGTGCTTTCTCGGGCGATACGGCAGCATTGAGAGTTTAGAGGCAGCGGTCGCACTAAACCCCGGCCAGTACTTGAGGTTCTCAAGGGATGGTCATGGGGGTTGGGTGCAAAGATATATATGTCACACGCCGTCACCATGCATCACGTGGTGCCGGCGCGAGACGCGTCTACCATAAATACAAGTAAATAGAACGTAAAATATACAGTAACCATGTAAGTAAATAAGGGCTGTGGGCATGCAATAAGTGTATGTATATTAGTTGTGTCACAACGATGGAGGCGGCCATACCCACCTTGATAATCACCTCGGGACACTTGGCGCACTTCGCACCCTTCTTATCCTTGTCGCCGTCATCCCTAGTCCGCTTGTCGCCTGCCACCGCGAAAGCCCTGATCACCCTCTTACCTGAATCCGGCGAAAGCTTTGACACAACGTTGTACATCATCGAAAGGGCAACATCTCCTCCTCGGCGTCAGAGATGGTGATGAGCGACGCGTTGTTGGGCGCTACGTCGGGAAAGGTGACAGGGTCTGCGTTGTGCTGAGCCCGAGTAAGTGTGTTCTCGTTGTTCTTCTCTCGTATTGCCTTATTCTTGCATGGCTTGGTCGCTTGCGGGAGGTTCTTCAAGGCCGTAATCACTGAAGCCGAGAGGTGGGTGATGCACTGGTGTGTCGTGCGGGGGTACGCACGGGGGCTCCTCGTTACCATGGTCCATCATTGGTCGAGATGCTGCATTGCCGCCAAAAGATGCCACGGAGGTATTTGTACTCGAAGACCGGGCAAAGACTGATATGTGTTGTCGACGAGGTACTCGGGGTGTATTTCGAAGTATAGAGGTTGACAGGTGGGCGGTATGTACAAAGAAGAGAGTGCCAGCGAGAGGAACATCGTGGCAGGACGAGAGTGATGAAATCACGCATCACGCATCACGTGCACCGCGATCATGCCTGCCCCGGCCTCTCGCTGCACTTACCTTATCCTCTGACAAACCCAAGCCGCTTGTGCCTTGTGTGGGGGTTGTGTCAGATTAATGTACAGCAGAAATGCCGAAGGGGGCAAGTAAAGTTAGTTTGCATAAGTTACTTTTTACGCACTCCCGAAACCTTTGACCTTTGAAAGAAGTAAGTTATATTCAAATTGAAAAGAATCAAGGACACACACGGTGTTGGCGCAGCATATATACGGATCTCGATGCCACTGTGAAAGATTGTGTGAGAGCGAACAGAGCGCAGGATATATCCACTCACGATTCGGGGCTTGAAGCCAGACACACCAGGAGGAAATGTGCTGTCGACAAGAAACAGCGAGAACAATTGTGTATTGTTGGTGAGTTACAGTATGATGAGGCCGCGAATTTTGGCGAGAGTGTTCATAGCCAGCTGCGGTGCGTGGAGAGAAGCGCTGAGTAAAGTTGCCGCATACTGAGGAGGCACTTGAGGTCTTGGTGGTTGTAGGAGAAAAGAAAGGATGGACGCGACAGTGGTCGTGGTGGCAGGCTTCTCGTGCGACTTGAGTCATCGGACATCAACAATCCTCGAAGCCCATAACATTGACGAGTAAGAGAGAACCTTGGTGTCTGGAAGTCTTCGATAGTGTCTCGCCTCAACTCCTCAAGTACTAGTGTGGACGATTATTGCTTGGATTCAATTGCCAGTGATCCAGGAGTAGGTGCCGAGTATTTGAAAGAGAAGGGTCCTCTGACATTTG